TTAAATTCAATTGTTTTTAGTCAAAATATATATTTATTTATTTAACTGTTAACCAAGAGTAACTTTTAGTATCAAATATTTGCCTGAAAAAGTGTGAAATAAAATAATTCAGTCGATGCTCGAGACTAATTAGGTACCGAGTCCGCAAATTTTTAGCAGAAGATTACAGCTTTTTCTTCAAGTACATTATTTGAAAACAGTTTCTTGCTAGTATGGAAAACTTATCTGTTTCATGTCGGGAGATGATCACAGTTAATACCATACTGAGATGAAACCAGGCTAGATTTGAATGTTCGAACGAAGATATTGATACACGTGAGAAAAATATATTAGTATACTATTATGATCGTTTGATTAGAACATCCATAGAAATGATTTGTACAGCATATCAGCAGACATTGTTAAACACATACTGCTGATCATCCAATGAAGATAATGTCTCGTTGATACTAGATGACAGGATCTTTTATATTTAATGCATAACGTAAATGTACATTCATATTTCTCACCACTGTGATGATCTGCGTTTATACTCAAGTTTCTCGACCAGTTAAAATTAAACTTTTCTGTTCCTAAAATATTAACTGGACACAGATAAAAGTATTGGAAGTGGTTTCAACAGTGAGTTCACAACAATAGGATAATATCATTCAATAATAGCTTGTTTATAAAACTCCGAGTTTTTGGCAATACATACAACTTCTTCGCTCTGAGTTGTTCTTTAAACTAGATTATGTAACCTTTAGAATGGCACGTGAACCACTGTTGTGCAGCGCCTAGTTGTTCAGATAATTAACACTTAACAGGTGTATCTTTAATGATACAGTTGGCATCAACAGGTCGAAGTGGTTTTAAAATCTTTATTTGTCATCATATATCTGATTGCTTTGCTATGACGACCGATCAAACGATTTGCCTCATATTGTTCTTCGTATGGTGGTTAAACTTCTAACGCTTTCTCGACAGCGCTATTGTCGACTTTTCTGTCAACGGAAAGATGTTTCAAGCACTCGATCGGATCATTGGACCTGCTCTTGATTCGTTTAGATGAAAGCGAGTAGATGTCGAAATTGTGAAACTGAGCGATAGCAACATTCTTTTGCCATTGGAAAAACTTAGAATTATCACAGACCCGAGTAATAATATAGATGCTAATTAACCCTTTTAAATCAGGTACTAGAGTCAGAGTTACAAAAAATATCGTTTACAGCATATTCGGTATACCTTCATCACTGATATGACATGTGTCATTCATTTACCTAAAACTACACAAATCTTAATTTAATAGACAAAACCTGTAAAAAATACAATTTTTGATTGTCTTACGAACACACAAAAGCATTAGAAAAACTTTCCTGCTGATGAGGAGATGCAATGCTTTACGCGTGATCGGATGTAAATATAAAATGCTTTGAGGATTTAGAAAATGATGATTGTGAACTGATGTTTTTCTCTATTAGCATTAGCCCTGTAAGTAGATGTTTGTTTATTCTTTGCTATTGACCAGAATTTACACGAATAGAGGATATGTTACAGTATATTAACACTAGTTTGAGTAAGCTAGCATCTCAAAAACAAATGTTTGACTCTGTGATAATTACAGGAGATCTAAATGCGCACTGTGCTGAATGGTGTGACATTCAAGTGAAATCGTCTACTTCAGAAGGAATTAAATTGAGACATTTCGTTAGTGTTAGTGGGGTTCATCAGTTAGCCACTAAACCTACGCGATTTATCTCGTAGACGTTATTTAGATCCACTTATCCTAAACAACGCTTCTTTTATTAGCTGCGTAGAAGTGGTACCGAATATAACTAAATGACCCGGAAAAAGAAGCTAAACAGTTTAACGAATATTTTGCGTCTACCCGCACAATGTCTCCAGTTAACCTTACTAAGCAATTTCCACCTTTTGTTCTTAAAACACAGTGTAAAATGGAACCGATTACAGTCACTGAAGAAGAGGTGCTTAACATAATGCAGAATCTAAAACTTCATAAAGCCGTAGCTGGAGGAATAACATCGAGAATAGCTAAGGAATTAGCTGCTGTTCTTGCTCCTCTGCTAACTCATATTACCAACGGCACGCTCGGACAACCTATCTTTCCGAAGTCCTTAAAAATGGGGCTGCTACTTCCGGTATTCAAAAAGGAGATACAGCGACATTACCGCGAACGACATTACCGCGAGACAATACCGCGAACGACATTACCGCGAGCGACATTACCGCGAACGACATTACCGCGAATACCAAAAACGATATTACCGCGAATACAGAGAACGACATTACCGCGAAGACTTGTTTGTTGGAAAAGCCGAATAAATGAGGCCAGTTTTGTATTTTGTACATCATGTCTTCAAACTTAACTGACGT